GCAAAAACTTAAATGTCTATCACTAGGGGACTGATTAAATAATGGTGTATCCATACAATGGAATTCTATACAGCTACTTAAAAAATAATTAAGAACTCTTTATGTGCCAATACAAAATGATCTCTTATGATATACTTTAAGTAAAAAGAAAACAAGAGAAAAATCAAGGTGGTGGTTAGTCTACACTTGTATACTAAAAATATGTGCTTATAGATGCAAAAAAAAAATCTTTGGAAGTATACAAAAGAGCCTGTTACCATTGAAGAAGGGAACTGAGCAGTAAAAATTCTCCCCATCTCTTTGGGATTTCTACTATTTCTGCCCTTTTTAAAAATAAGAAATACACCTATAAAAGTACATAAAGCATATATGCAAAGTATATTAAATCATTATAAAGTAAATTCATATAATCACTTCCCAGGTTGAGAAATAGAATTATTCCCCACACCACATAAGCCCCATGTTGCCAATAGAAGATAAAATTTTTTACTAAATATCATTTTGTACTTTTTGAATTTTGACCCATGTGAACACATTACCTATTTAATAACAGCTAATTCTTCACCCCCTCTCCACTCCCCACCAAAATGCAAGGAGGTCATCAACTATTTTATGGAAAGATTGGTGTGGCAGCTTTTCCATAGCCAAATAAATAATAACTGTATTCTGTGTTTTATATATATTAACTAAGCAGTCTACATACATTAACTCCTTTAATCCTTATGACAACACTATAAAGTAGTTACTATTGCTATCCTCATTGTGTGGATAAGAAAATGGAGGCACAGAGATGGTAAGTAACTTGTTCAGAGTCATATTGTGAATACATCGTGAAGAGCTGGGATTTGTACCCAGGCAGTTGTGTCTCAGAATACAAGTTATTTACCATTATGCTACTCTGCCTCTGTAAATTCTAGAACCCAGGCTCTGAGGCATTGTAATCACTGATACCTGGATAGTGGAGACAATTTTTGGCTATGGACCACCAGGTGGGAGCCCAAGCATTGACTCAGTTATGCCACTACTCAGGCAAAGACACAAGCAATTAAAAACAGACAGGATGCAGTGAGTCTAAGGTCTGGGGCAGCACTAGGCTGGCAAACAGTGAAAAGCACTTAAGTGACCTTTACAGGACATCTGAGAAGTGAAATTCTGGTCAAGTCTCCTATTTTGAGCTCAGAGCCTCCCCAATGCCTAAAGCTCAATAAATTTTTTTTTTCCAGTAAATAAGCTCTTTCCATCTAGAAACCGGAGAAATCTAAGAGCCTATGTTACAAAAAGACCTCCAGAAGTGGACAAAGATGTCTGCTGCAGTATTGTTTACAATAGCAAAAATCTGCATTCACTCAAATGTCCACCAACAGGGGACTGGTGAGTAGACTATGTCTGAGACATATCACAGCATGATTGTCTGGGGCATAGGCTCTGAACCAGGATGCTCTGGCTTGCACCCTGCCCACTTATCAGCACAAATATGGACAAGCTCCCCAGTCTTACTGTGCTCTAGTCCCCACATCTGTGAAACAGGGATAACAAAAAAGACCTACATCTTAGCTTTGTTGCAAGGAGTTAATTCATAGTTTCTGGCATTTAGTAAATATTCAACTGTTATTTATTATGATAGCCACTCACATGGTAGAATATTATGTAGCTGTTAAAAAGAAAGAGGTAGATCTATATGCACTGATTTGGACAGATTTCAAAGTTATATATTTTAGGCCAAAGAAAACAAACAAATGTCAGAATAGCATGTGTAATGGAACTCCAATTTTGTAAAAACAATCTACTGTGTGTATGTGCAGAAAGGAAGCCTGGACATCTGTTTTTTGTTTTGTTTTTTGTTTTTTTGTTTTTTTTGAGACAGAGTCTCACTCTGTCGCCCAGGCTGGAGTGCAGCTGGAGTACAGTGGCATGATCTCGGCTCACTGCAACCTCCACCTCCCGGGTTCAAGTGATTATCTTGCCTTAGCCTCCCAGCCGAGATTGTGCCACTGCACTCTAGTCTAGGCGACATAGCGAGACTCCATCTCAAAAAAACAAAACAAAACAAAACAAAAAAAAAAACAAAAAAACTTGCAAACATTTATGATTCTTGGGAGAACAAATTCAAGAGATAGGGAAGACTTCTAAGATGAAGAGGTTCTGTAAAGAACAGGGCAACGGGAAGGAGACCCCCTTCCCATGGGCTACAGATTCCTCTCCCCAATCCAAGGTAACACTGTGTAACTGTCTTTCCTCTCACACCATTGCCTTTCTTCCTGACAGCATGGCAGTAAAGAGAGAAGATACACATTTCATTGGTAACAAACTTTGTTATACTTCCTAAAATAATTCCTGCAATGCAGCCAAAAAAACAAGGTTCTGCTTCAGATGTACCTCATTTAATGAACAAATCGTAGAAACTCGGATTTTCAAGCTAGAAAGGACCTTTGAGATCATCTAGGCCAAACCCCTCATTTACAAATGAAAACAAGGAAACGTATTCCTGAGAAGTTTAGCTGTCAAGCAATTTTGCGAAATAAAATTTATTATCCAATTAAAAAAATCAGAGACGCATCCCCATGGGAGAAAACTGTAAGAGCCAATTAATGCAATAAACCTGAAACCTTTATACACTGATGGTGGGAGTGTAAGTTAGTACTATTTTGCACAGTGATTTGACAATATCTCCCAAAGGTGACAATGCACATACCCTGTAAGGGACAATTCCACCCAGATATTTACCCAGTACAAACTGTCACCTAAGAATAGCTACACAAGAAAGATCACAGTACCTCTGTGATTGCTCAAAACTAGAAATAGCCTAAATGTTCATCAACAGCAGAATAGATAAAGTGTGGTATAGTCATTAGAGGAGTACACAATAGTGAAAAAAATGAGTAAACTAGAACCCCGTGTTATACAACATGGATGCTTTTCACAAATATAACATTGAATAGAAAAAATAAGTTTCAAGCCAGTTGCATTGGCTCATGGCTGCAATCCCAACACTTTGGGAGGCTGAGGCAGGAGGACTACATGAGGCCAGGAGTTTGAGATCAGCCTGGACAACATAGCAGGACCCTGTCTCTATGAAGGAAAAAAAAATTAGCTGGGCATGGTGGTGCCACCTGAGGGGTGGTGAGGTTGGAGGATTGCTCCAGCCCAGGAGCTCGAGACTGCAGTGAGCTATGATTACACCAATTCACTCCAGCCTGGATAACAGTGCAAGATCTTGTCTCTTAGGAGGAAAAGAAAAGAAAAGAAAAATCACATTGCAGAAGAATACATATAATACACCACTGATATAAACTTTTAAAACATATAAAGCAGTAGTATATGTTGTTTAAAAATACATACATGTATAGTAAAAGTATATACATCAATGCATGGGAATAATAAACACCAAATCCAGGATAGTGGCTACTTTGGAAGGAAAGAGAGAACTTTAATCATGGAGAATAGACAGAAGGTTTCAACTCTACTGGTAATGTTTCTTTACTAAGCTGTGCAGTGAATAACCTGATTTTCACCATATTATTTTTATACCTTTTTGAATGTATGAAGATATTTCATAACACATTGTTTAAAAGAATGCAACAAAGCCCATGCTGAAAAGAAAGTTGACAATTTTTGCATATAACAAAATACTAGAAGAAATGTATTAAATGTAAATGTTGCACTCAAAATTTAAGGATTATTCCTTAAATCTGCTTCATTTTCCTGGGACTAGTTTCACAGGAGGGGACCTGCTAGAGAAGCAGCAGTTGGGTACAGTGGGCTGGGGAATCAGGAGATAATCCCAGATTCTCATCAGCTATGGGAAGGAAAACAATATGATTAACCTCTTGGGTTTTTCATGTTTAGAAATGCATTGTTGGACTAGATTATTTTACAAGTGTTATCCATGTGACAATTTCTTCTGGTTTGTTTGTTTGTTTTTGAGCAGCAATTCCCTAAACTGTATCTGCAAGAGGCAAAAAGTGTTTTTCATAAAGAAAAGTGTTCCCTGGTCAAACCAGTCTGGGATGTACTGGGTTAAACAAAATTAAACAGATTCATTTACAGCAGTACTTCTCAGAGTCTTTAATATGCGTTATATATACTGTGACTCTCCAAAATGAGAATTCGGTTAAGAAGCATTTCCAAAAAAGTATTGAAGAATACACACACATGCATGCATACACACACCCAACACTTATTTTAAAACAGAATTTATTAACATTCTCTCAGGATGGGGCTCTATAGAACATTGGTTTGGTAAATGCTATCCTAGAAGGATTTATCTCACTTGCTATTTTTGTTGCTGATGCACGTTTAGAATCCTTCGTAAGGGAGGAATGTCATTTCATAGTATAATTTCCACTGAATGGGTTTCCTCTTAGTGTGTATCCCTGAGAAGTTTAGAAGGCTATCTTCTCGGCCTTCATTAGTGAGATCCCATCCTAGCTGGCATGGTGGCAGATCCAACATCAGAAACTTCTGAGCATCTACAGTTAGAAGGGCTGAATCCCAGATGTGCTCTCCACATCTGGCTCGGGGCCTTTGCTAAATTCATTGCTTCAAGCTATGCTCCCCTCCTTTATGGCGGACTTGAAGGGTAATCTGAACTGGAGCACAGAGCTACTTAGCTGAGGCTGAATGCCTAGAAGTACAAATCTCACAAGAAGAGGAGCTCTTTCCGTGTGCCTTCATCCCCCAGCAATGGTTTACAGAAAGCAAGACTACAGGGCAGAGGCCTGCCCACCCAGAGACAGAGGGGCTTGGTCTTCTTTCAGAAACAGGACACAACACTGCCACTTCCAACACTGCCTTTTCACGGAGGTTTCCTTAGAAGGCCCTGAGATTCTCTGGGATCATCTCCCCACGCAAACCTTAGAAGGAAAATCTCCTGAGGCTTGTGGTTCCCATAGGCCCTTTAAAAGGTGATTTACCTGAGGGCCTTTCATCTAGAAACAAGGATTCCTTTGGAAAAGTCAGGAATTAAGATGAACTAGACATAGAGCTTTTTTAAGGCTTTTGTTCTTTTGACAATCAAAATGAAAATATTTTTTAAAAGTATGTTCTTTTCCAGACAGCAGGCACCATGCTTTCAACGGAAGCAGGCGGCAGCTGCTGCTGACGTCCTCCTCTACCCCACTCCACCCCACACCATCCCAGCCTTGCCACCTGCTTAGACCCAACACCTGTGAGGCCTGGCTCGACCTGCCTACCAAAGGAAGGATAAACATTAACTACCCATACAGTCTCAGGCCCACTTACTAGGCTGGGGCACTTGGCCTGATGCTGGGAAAGGTGGTGAGAGCAGGTGATGGGGTGTTAGACTCCAAGAGAAGCAAGCCCTATTTGAAACCACTCCAAGCTAGGCTTTCAAGAGTGGAAAGATGCCTCCTGATTACAGGGTGTAGAAAGGAAACCAGGGGAGAAGATAAAGGGGAAAAAATGTCACAGGAAAAACAACAGAGCCAGGAAGTAAATGCAGAGATGAGATGAGCCCTTCAGCTCCAGGCTCTTAGGTCAGAGCCTGGTTTACTTCAGCAAAGAACTCCTGTGTCCTGTCTACTGGCCAGAATACTCATTTGTTCAGGGAACCTGCTCCAAGGTCCCATGTTTCCTCTCTCCTCCCTTGTTAGCCAATGCTTTCCACACACCTTTCCTTCCCTCCTGCCAAGAAATATACCCTTGGACAAAAAGCATGCTATTGAGAACCTAAAATAAATAAATAAATGCCCTTCTCTTCTCAGAGAAGCAAACTGTGTACCTCCTTCTTATTCATTTTTAGACCTTAGTTGCTCAAATTGGCTTGAGTTTCTATTCTTGGGCATCTTTTTTTTCTTTATGAATCTAAATGGTGACTACTTTATTGTGGACATTTTTTAATGCAAGTTTTCCCCTAAAAGCACATGCAAACAGACCACAGGCAGGCACATGTACACACACACACACACACACACACACACACACACACTCATTTTCTCTCTCTCTTCCCCCACCCCCTGCCCGCCACACAGTACCTCTGGAGCTTCCCCTCCCTCAGTCATTTCCCCTCAGCCAGCTGAACAAGGGCAAGGCTTGGAAATAATTTTTCTGTGGCCTACCTTCTGATTCCGTCAGGTCTGAGAAGCAGGCGGCAGCTGTAAGCTGGGAGGCCGGGGCTGGGCTGCCTCTGTGAATCAGCAAAGAAGTCCCTGAGACAGGGATGCCGACAGTTGCTGTATGCACACTCTCCCTCTGTTTCTCCCACCTCCCTGTCTTCCTTCTTCTCCTCCTCCTCCCCTCTCAGAGCTGCTCTGTGTTTCTCTGCAATCCTATCACCAGGACTAACAGCATCATTCCGACCTCAGGCAAAAATACCCTTGACTGGGCAAACGCAAGAAGAGCAAGGACAGTTTTGTAAAACTACCAGAGATGTGGCGGCTCCTGGAGATTTCAATTCATTAGAAGCAGAGGAGGAAAGCGGAAGAGCCTGAGAAGCAGAGGGGGAGAGAAGGAGACAGGGATTGGGGGAAGACGGGGAGAGGGGGAGAGGAGGAGAGGCTTCCACTGGGGAGGAGGAGACAAAAAAGCCCCGGAGATCAATCAGGCTGCTGAGCGAGCAGCCTGGACCCCAACTTACACTGATCTAGCCCACAGACAAAACCAACTTCGGAGCCAGCACTGGCAGGGGCCCCTCGTAGCCAGTCCAGGATTCTGTTTCTGTGTTGAGGGTTGAAATGCTGTGATCTAGAATCACCAGTGGTACTCAAGGTATAGTTTTGGGCTCAGGACAGTCTGCCAGTCACCCCTAAATCTCATCTTCACACCCTCTTAGATCTCACATATAGAAAAAGCCTCAACAAATTGGGGAAACAAAATGGATCTTGAATAATTCGGGAAAATACAGCTCCTCCATGACTCCCCTCAATGACTACCCCAGGCACCTTCCTGCTTTTGTCCGTACCAGCCCTTAGGAGAAGAGGGTATGAACTCCAAACACCCTGAGAGACCTGGGAGAAGCCACTAGCAGGATAGAAAAGATTATATGCCTTTACCAAGTGCCCAGCACACAGTAGGTTACTTAATAAATATATGTTGAATGAGTAAATTGAATGAATGAATAGGTGGATGAATAGCAGTCAGAAAGTCCCCATCCTCATCCTCCTACATAAACATACAAAGATTTAAAGCCCCAGCAGTCCCAGGTCACCACAAAGGATAAAAGCAGCTTTCTTCTTTCCTCCCTCCATCTCTGGAAACAGGGTGTATATGGAGAGAGAGAAAGACTGGTTGGGAGTGGGTTGCTTAACTTCACTGATTTGCCTCTAAAAACTTTATAAGCTCTGATGGCACTGGAACTTAGAAAATACTTCCTAGGGCCAGGCGTGGTGGCTCACACCTATAATCCCACATTTTGGGAGGCTGAGGCAGGCGGATCACAAGGTCAGGAGTTCGAGACCAGCCTGACCAACATGGTGAAATGCCGTCTCTACTAAAAAAATACAAAAATTCGCTGGACATGGTGGTGTGCACCTGTAATCCTAGCTATTCAGGAGGCTGAGGCAGGAGAATCGCTTGAACCTGGGAGGTGGAGGTTGCAGTGAGCCAAGATCGCACCACTGCACTCCAGCCTGGGTGACAGAGCGAGACTCCGTCTCAAAAAAAAAAAAAAAAAGAAAGAAAATACTTCCTAGGACTAGTATTTACATAGAATCTAGGACTAGTGTTTACAAAGTGTCTAAAGGACCCAGAATTATGGTTTTTTTTAAGTTCCATTTTAAAATTATTATGTGATTTTTATGAAGTATTTTTATTATTTATTTTTGACAAATAAGAATTCTATATATTTATGGGCTCCAGTGTGATGTTTTGATCTATGTATACTATGTAGAAAAATTCAGCCCAGCTAATTAACATATTCATCATCCCACCAACTTATCATTTTTTTTGTAGTGAGAACATTACAAATCTATTCTTTTAGCAATTTTGATACATACAATACATCATTAATAACTGTGGTCATCATGATGATCATTACTATTATTGAAAACTTTCAGCTAGAAAATAGTGTGTATATATGTGTATGTTTTCTTTTGAGGTGAAATTTTAAAAACTTAAGTTGCTAGCTTCCGTAAAAGGCTAGAAATATGGCCTGATTTCCTCTTCAAAATAAGCAACATAGAAACCAATAGCCCCTGTCATCAAGCTTTCAGAGCTGTGTAAGTAGCCCTTCCTATCTGGTCCAAATAGCAGAAGGCAGGCTCCCATGCAGGTGCAGAAAAGGCCTTTGATTTCTGAAGGGGCTTTTGAAAACACGTCCGGCTTCTCAACCTACACATCCGCAACAGAACATTTCTCAGCTACCTAGCCTAGCCCAGGCCTGACCCTGTCTCGCCCTCCATCCTAGCCCTGGAAGCTTACAGGGCTTGTCAACACCATCCAGAACCAGGGCCCTCAGAGTCCTTTACAACTGACTTGGAATGAGTTGGAGTGGGGAGCTGGCTAGAAGAAAGACCAGAGGGAACATTCTGAGAAATAGTTTGGGATGGCACACACAGAACAACTGTGATGGACTTATACAAAACACATGGGAACCTGACTCACTGCTCACCTTCGGCACCAGCTCACCACATGCCCAACAAGCACATAGTCTAGGGTCAACTATTTTCAGAGGAGGGCAAAGAAAGATAAAAGTAGGTCGGGTCACAAGCTTTGACTTTAGTTTCACCTTGGTAACTGGCAGAAGGATGTTCAAGGCTCACCCTGGTATCACTGCACAGGACTTTGCTAGGGTATTTCAGATAGGGAGAAAGTATGTGTAAAAGCACAAAGGTTAGAGCACACAGCCTGCTGAGGAACTGCACGTCCTAGTTAAGTATGGTTAAGACAGGGATATGGGTAGGAAAGGGGAGAAGGTGGCAGGAGATGAAGCTATGGAAGCACATGGGATCAGCCCATGGGAATGCTGGAATACCATGCTAAGGATCATTTAAAATGTTTAAGCAGGCAAGTGGCATGATCAGGTTTATGTTTTAGAAATATCACTCCAGTGGTTTTCATTCAAAGAACCATTACTGAGTGTCTTCTACACTCCAGATTCTGTGCTAGACCCCAGGGGCACAGAGAAGACGGGAAGACTGCCTTCAAGTTGCTCATAGCCTAATGGGTGAGACAGTTAATTAAAAACAAATACAATAGGGTGGTAAGTGAAATGAAGAATGAATCTGAGGGGAGACAGGCTGGAAGCCTGGGTGCCTGGTAGGAGGCAGTTGCAGTACTTATCTGATAAGGGCCTGACGTAGGGCAGTTGGTAGTAACGGTGGAAAAATGGACAACCTGGTTTTATATTGGAAGAGTGGGCCTCATCCCCAAATGGATCTTCTTCATACTGGCCTTTCCATGTATTGATTCTTCCTAGTCTGCCTACTTGCTGCATTGCTAAAGGAGAAATAAACTGTATTTTTGTCCTTTGTGGGTGGGAGAGATGGTATAGCTTATTCTCATTGCTGTTTTGCCATTCCACAGCCTTATTTGCTAGTCCCTGACCATGTTTACCAAAACAACTACTTCGGTTCATTTCTACTCTTACCAGACACCCAACCCCAGCCACCTACCTCAGCAAATAACTTTCATTCTCTTGCTTTACTGAAAAAGTGGATGTTATCCCTGCAAACCTCTCTATCTTAGAATGTCTTCCAATCTTTCCCTCCGATGTCTCCAGACAAAATGAAATCGTTTATTACCTCCCTAAGGTCAATGCCTCTTCTCATAACATCAGGCCGTTTTCTTTGTATTCCCTCTGGGAACTTCTTATACATTATTTTCTGTCTTGCTTTCCTCTGCAGTCTTCTGGTTGCCTCTCTTTTCCTGCTGTTGAAAAACATGTGAGGAGCAGGAAGTATGTTGACTCCAATGAGCTGGGAAGTGGGAAGAATGTTTCCCCACTATAGAAAGCCCCACCGCCTTGGGCCGGGCACAGTGGCTTACATCTGTAATCCCAGCACTTTGGTGGACCGAGAGGCAGGAGGATTTCTTGAGCTCAGGAGTTTGAGACCAGCCCGGGCAATATAGTGAGACCTCGTCTCCAAATAAATAAAGTTTTTTAAAAAGGAAAGTCCCATCTCACGTACACACACACAACCAGTTTAAGACTATGTTATGGACAAACTGGAGAAAGTTTAGAGGGAAGCAGCATCATCAGGGCAAAGAATACCCAGGTTTCAGTAAGGTTGGGAAGTAAAAAGTGTCCCTCAGAAAATGCAGAATAATAATAAATCTTTGCCAGCTATTATTTGCAGAATATCTTCTGCCATATTATTTGATTTACATAGCAGAGATTGCTTCCAGTGAATTGATGTTCCATGCAGAAAAACCAAAAGGGTTAGTAGAAGAACAGATAGAGGCAAATGTCTCAGGACAAACAAGATTAATATGAATTGGGATGAGAGAATGAGTCAGAGAGTAGGAGGGAGGGATTTTCACCACATAGATGCAGGAGGCTGGGAGATAAGTTGAAGGAACATGTTAAGTTGGAGGAACAGGTTAAAAATGTAAGGGCACAATGTCAAAAAGGCTGAAATTCCTCATTGGAGTTGATAAGGAATAATGGAAAGCCATAACAGACTAAGGGTTGAAGAATCAGTATTGTCCCAGTCAATGGTCTGAGCACTCTCTGTTGCTTTTGTTGAACATCTGAAAATGCGGAACTCATTTTACACACTTGGTTACCTCCCACCCTCTTCTGCTGTTCTTCAAGCTTCTGCTAAACCAGACCCAGCAGCTGGGATGTTATATAACATAACTTCTATTTATGTTTTCAAATATATTCCATTTAGGCCAAAACCATTCAAGCTACGGTTAAAGTGGTACAGATGAAAGAATGTTGAATTAGGAGTCAAAAGACAAAGGTTCTAATCCCGATTTTGCTACTAAATTGTCACTGACCTTTTTGAGCTTTGATTTTTTCCTTCACCAGATAGGAGATAGTAGCTGTCTGCCCTGTTTACTTCACTCATTTGGGTTGAGACTCAAATGGGATAATGGATGTGAATGTATATTGAAACTATAAAGTGTTATTCAAATGTAAGAGATTATTATTTCTATTGCTTCAAGGTCCTGGTGGTTTTCCTATATGCAGAGGACATACATCCTAGAGTAGACTATAGCAGCTAAGGATGTCGTGCCAGGAATTTAATTAGCTCCCTGTTTCCATGCTAGATCAGATACTATATTTCTTTAAGTAGACATACCAACCAGACAGTTCAAGTTTATTCACTATCTTTCACATTACCAACCTTCCTATCCTTCTTTCAGCCCAGACTGCTAGACATATGCACATTCACTAGCAAACTTTCACATATGAGCTTCCAAGAAAACATATACAATTCAATAAGAACTACTGATTTTCAGCTGGGTGCGGTGGCTCACACCTGTAATCCCAGCACTTTGAGAGGCTGAGGCGGGTGGATCACCTGAGATTGGGA